AGATCTATTTCTAGAACAACCAGGGCTTACACAGAGAAACCCTGACAAAAACCAAATCAATCCAAAAGATATTTTTTCATTTGTTTTCTCAGACAGGGTCACGTGTATCTCCTGTTGGCCACAAACCTATGTGTCAGGCTATGCTCTTAAAGTCCCTGATCCTCTCCTACCACACCCAACTTGATATAACAAGTTGGGAGAGCTCTTAAACTTGGGTGATGTCCTCTGGCTTTTTTTGTAACTCCTACTTCTCATACCTGACAATAGTCAGTACATTTAGTGATTGTGTTTTTAATTTCACAGTTGACTTAGTAGAGTTCCTTGTGGCTGGTATTGCCTAGTATATTATTACACTTGTGAGTCTGTCTTGATTGAGAAGAGGGTGGCCCAGAGGACCATGCTGAAGAGAGTGGAGCTGGAGATGTTTGGAAGAGCCATAGGCACTACTTGTGCATAATTTCTTTGCTTGTTGGTGGGTGTAACAACATTGCAGCAATCGAGGTAGAATAAAGAAACATGCTCAGGAGTGTTCATGTTCTATTTCAGACAAGCTGCTCAGCATCCAAGTAGCTATTTTGCACAGTCATGTGCCCGTTTGCTGGGTTAGGCTTCCATTTGGGACTCAGTATTCTATAAGGAAAGAGAGATGGTGAGAGGAGGCTTTGAGCCCCTTTCAGTGAGGAAAACAGGCAGATCTGAGAAGATGAAGGCAAAGAGATTTGGGCATTCAGGAGAGCTCTCAAAGTACAGGTGGGACTGTGAGGCTTAGGTTCTGAGTTCCTGAGCTTACACTGGGTGATTTCAAGTGATAGGTAGGACAGAAGTGGGAATGAGTGAGTGAGTGAGTGAGTGAGTGAGTCAAGGCTGTGGAGAAATAGTTAACTGTCATTGATCTTAAATCAGTGTCCATTTCAAGGGGTTTTGTGGTTGACAAGTTGGCAGCTCTAGCAGTGTCAGGCTTTTTTTTTTTTTTTAAACTCAAGGGGTATTCTTCATCTAAGATGAACAGCATTTGTTGCGGGGTGGGGTGAAGGTGCAGGTGCACCCCTTCAATCCCAGCACTCAAGAGGCAGAGACAAGTTGATCTGTGATGGAGGCCAGCCTCCAAAAGCTACACAGAGAAACCCTGTCTCAGCTCCCCTAAATGCTGCTTCACATCCTTTGCCGCTACAACCCTGTGCCACTTAATGAGGTAGCCAGGTGGAGGTGTTGGCTCTCCTGCTTTCTTTTTACTGAGCAGCCCTTTTGGTTTCTGGTAGACTATTGATTGTGCTGTTTGGTTGTGTGAGAGTTGATTGCCTCTTTAGCCACTAAGTTAGTGGAGCTATCCATATTTTGCTAACAATCCTTCCTACTTATAAGTAGGAAGGAAATCTTTTATAAAAGGGTGCTCACTGCTTTGTCTTGTAATTTTACTGGATTAAATACCCACCTCCAACCCCACCCCCACCCCTGCTTTTTGAGACAAGGTCTGTTTGTAACCCTCTCCATCCTGGAACACGCTATGTAGACTATATTGACCTCGAACTCAGAGTTCCCAAGTGCCTCCCAAGTGCTGGGATCAAACGCCTGTACCTTGATATCCGGCCTACCTAATTTTTTGTTAGCATTTTCTTGAAAATGTTACCACCTACAGGCAAATTATTTTACTTTTTTAAAAAAAATTTATGTTTTACTTTCCAGTCCCAGTTCCACCTTCCTCCTCTCTTCCGGCTCCCCCTCTCCCCCACCTCCCTACCTCAGAAAGAGTAAGGCCTCCCCTAGAAGTCTACTAAGTCTGTCAGGACCAAGACACCCCCCCACACACACCTGGTGTCTAGGCTGAGTCCATATAGAATGGGCTCCACTAAGTCAGTTTGTGCATTAGTGTTAGATCTTGAACCCACTGCCAGTGGCCTCATATATTGTCCCAGTCACACCATTGTCACCTATATTAAGGGAGTCTAGTTTGGTCTTATGCAGGTTCCCGATTTGTCAAACCCCTGTCAGTGATCTCTCACTAGCTCGGGTCAGCTGATTCTGTGGGTTTCCCCATCACGGTCTTGACTTCTTTGTTCATATTATCGCTCCTTCCTCACTTCAGTTGTATTTCAGGAGCTTGGCCCATTGGTTAGTTGTGGATTTCTGCATCTGCTTCCATCTATTTCTGGAAGAGATTTCTTGCTTCTCTGGGGCTGTGGATTGTAGGCTGGGTATCTTCTGTTTTATGTCTGGTATCCATTTATGAGTAAGTACATACTATATTTGTCTTTCTGGTTCTGGGTTACCTTGGGGTAGTTCTGTCCATTTGCCAGCAAAAATGGATAAAGAAAATGTGGTAATGTAACTGTACCACATTTTCTTTATCCATTTTTCAGTTGAGGGGCATCTAGGCTGTTTCCAAGATCTGGCTATTACAAATAGTGTTTCTATGAACATAGTTGACACAGGCAAATTCTTGTTTCTTTTTCTGAGGTCCCACCTCTTTGACTTCTTAGGACATGCATGCGTGTGCTCTCCCCTACCCCCCCCCCAGTTTTTGCAACAGCTTTTAATTTTTGTTTTTTAAAGATTTACTTGATATGTATGAATTTTTTGCCTGCCTGCATTAATGTAAGCAACGTGTGTGCCTGTTTGATGCCCTGGAATGGGATTACAAATGATTGTGAGCTACCTACCATGTGTGAGGGTCCTGGGAATTAAACCTGGCAACAGGCACTTTTTTTCTTTTTTCTTTTTCATATATATATATA